TTCTACAATTTTGAAATCCCAGTCTATCCCTTCCCACCCTCTACCCCCCTGGTAACCACAAGTCTGTATTCTCTGTCCATGAGTCTTTAGATTCCACATATGAGCGATCTCATATGGTATTTTTCTTTCTCTTTCTGCCTTACTTCACTTAGAATGACATTCTCTAGGAGCATCCTTGTTGCTGCAAATAGCGTTTTGTTGTCGGTTTTTATGGCTGAGTAGTATTCCATTGTATAAATATACCACATCTTCTTTATCCAGTCACCTGTGAGAAATTTTTCTTGAAAAACGTTTTTATAGTTTAAAAGAGGTTACAATATTAGCTCGTTAGTAATAATAATAGTAATAGCTACTCTATTTTTTCTTTTTACTCTTGTATGTGTAAGATACTCATACTAGATCTTTTACCTACATCCTCTGATTCAATCCTAGCTTTAATGAGACAAATTTTATTAGCCTCATTTTACAGATAAGCTGAATCATAGTAGCGTTAAGAATAGATAAGCTTCACATCTGTGCCAATGGCTGACATGATTCAGCCTCCAAGGGAGGGAAAGAACTAGATTACCTTCTTGGCTTACCTCAAATACTGTGATTTTTACAGTCTGTAATCTTCTTTGTAGGTGTAGTCAGTAAAATTCAAAAGTCACTGATGTAGGTTACCAAAACCTCACAATGCTGTTCAAATGGACCTGTGTGCCAGAACTTGAAGTCTGCCAAAAAAAAAAAAAGAGGTCTTTGTTTTGCAAAACGTCCTTTTAAAACTTTGATATTAACTATTTATCTGTGAAGATATATAGACTTACCAAAGAAAGTATTTCTTCATTATCTACAAGTAAACTTCCTAAAATTTCCATGTAATAAATTCAAAGCCCAGTCAAAATATGCTTAATTGTCCTCTTTTGTTGTAATTCCCAAAATGCTAATATTGTTAGTTGTACTTTTAATATAGTCTGAATAATGTGATTTAAACTCTAGCTACTTAACTCCATTTTCCTGATGATTTAGTCATTGTGTACCTTCCATATTTGTCTCTCTTTATAACCTAAAGTAAAGGATTAAAACTGAAGAATAAAATGAAATGCTTAACTCTATTTTGTATTCATTCTGCCATGCTATTGTTGAAACACTGACTAGCATCCACATGTGCCCTGTATAACCGTCACAGTACAGTATTATAAATTGAAATGAAATAACAGATACTATCAATATTTGATGTCTTTTCCTCCTATTATTCTCTACGTATGGCTTTCCATCTTGATGCCAGACGACCATTCTGAAAAGAGCGGGATGAGATTTCACATTTGCTAAGAGATTTCTTTTTTTTTTTTAATGCTTCAGAAATGCTCAGGAAGTCAAGAGGTCAGCCATTGAAAGTCTGCAAACCATTGCGTAAATTATAGACGCTTTTAAAATCCTCACCATAAAAGTCTCATTAAAGATTATTTTCACTTTAAAATTCACTGTGAATTTATTTTTTTGACCAGAAAATGAGTTGAGAGTTGTCTTTAAGCTCCTGTAATTCCCAGCTGTGTTTCCTATTAATTAGGCATGTCAAAACAAGTCTGTTGAAGTTTAGATTACCTTTGTTCTTCCTTTACATTTCCAAGTCTGGGAGGAAAGAGACACAATAAAACACCAGCAACAAGGTTCCTATTCTCTGAAATACGAATGGTAAATACAATGTTCTAAAGCTACACACAGATCTATTTATGGATTTAGCTTTGTTATTCACTGGTCTAATGCTGACCTATATGCATACAAAGTAAATAAAAGATGATGCAAGGCGATAGTCTTAATCTCTTCTGTGCAGCACTCATTCCGAACTCTCCTGTGACGCTACTTCCTACTATGTGTTGTGCTATGTGTGTAGTCTCATCCCCCTGCTACAATACAACTCTTTAAGAAAGGCCTCTTCTCTTATTTATCTTTTTATTCCCACTGTACCTAAACTCACATTTGGCATATATAGAGCAGTCGATACATTATTTTATTAGTGCTTTTAAAAAATATATCTGACCATTGAACAATACTTGAAGAACACAGTAAGGTTAAAAAAAAAATCACATGAGTCAGTTTCTTCATCTAAAAACACCAGAGATGATGTTTTCAAATACTGCTCCTTCTTTACTATTTCCTATTTTTGGCCATTTTTATATAGTTATAGGCATAATGTCTGCATAATTGGTATATAGGGTTAGACACTATAACATGAACAGTTTCCATGTTATTTTAAAATCATAGTAAACAGTGCAATAGCTACATAATATTCACTTTAGGGGATTTTAAAACATAAAATTATTCATAATTCTTTTGTTATGAAGCACAAAGATTGCTGCAGACTAAGCTGAGCCTCTAAACCCTCGATGTTTTTGAAATGCTGTCCATCACTTTGAGGATGGAACTGTGGCCAGCGAGCTGGTGATAAGAGCACACCTCAAGGTGTAGGTTTTAGGATGTATGGTATCCAACCAAGGGATCTTTGTGTTATCCACAGCTCTGGAGTGTGAGATCCTGGGGTTCATCAGATGTTACTGGCAGTTTTGTTCCCTTGCTTCTCTACCTTTACTACCCCCAAAACTGACCTTGTCCAGATGAGGAAGCAGTTCACAGTTTTCAGCAGTTGAAGATCTACACTGCCTCAGCTCGTTTCTACTAGACACTCAGCCACCCCCAATTTATATCATTAATTGGGATGCTTCCATTAAAGAGAAATTAACCTTTAAGAGAAGACCTTGTTCCTGGGACTTCATCATCCATAGATGAAACCCCTAGACCCTGTTACATAGTCACCCAGGGCAACCTCTCTAGGCTCTACCTCTTATCCACACACTTAACCCCTTGCTGTCCTAGATGCCAGTCTCTGCTCTGTACTATATGTTTACCTTTTTTTTTAAATTGAAGTATAGTCAGTTACAATGTGTTGATTTCTGGTGTACAACATAATGTCTCACTCATGCATAGATATACACAATTCGTTTCCATATTCTTTGTCATTAAAGGTTATTATAAGAAAGAATATAGTTCCCTGTGCTATACAGAAGAAATTTGTTTTTATCTATTTTTAATATAGTGGTTAACATTTACAAATATCGAACTCCCAAATTTATCCCTTCCCACCCCCTTTCCCCTAATAACCATAAGATTGTTTACTATGTCTGAAAGTCTGTTTCTGTTTTGTAGATGAGTTCATTAGTGTCCTCTTTTTTTCTTTTTTCTTTTCGATTCCACATATGAGTGATATCATATGGTATTTTTCTTTTTCTTTCTGGCTTACTTCACTTTCTGCTCTGTACTATATATTCAGCTTTCCTTTTGAAGCTAATGGACACTGCATTTTCTGGCCTGCTCCAACATCCAAGTCCAGATCTCAGAACTCCCTTCCAGGCTAGAGCCCTAGACCACCTTCCTATTCAAAAGGAAATATCAGACACTGATTATTTGGGAAATAGCTTTCACATTTTTAAACAGTTGTGGGTTTTATTTAACAGGTGTGCTCAGAAAATTTGGCCTGAATATTTTTAAAGTTTAAAAAAATTTTGTTATTTCTTTAGAGCCAATTATGTGACTTTTCACTGGTGTTTCCGTAGACATTTGAAAGGAAAGTAAGATATATACATATTATTTATAGTGCAAAAGTTCATATACATTTATCAATTTGAATATGTCAATACATAGTTTAAATTTAAATGCCTAGTCTATTGTTGATTGTTACTTCTCTATTAAAAGTTATTATGACCTCAAAGCTTTCTTTGTATTTTAAAGTATTTGCTTTTGGGTCTTATAAATATCAGTGTATTATTATACCTTCTTTAATATTGATTTGATTATGGTATTTATAAAACACTTAACAGAATTTTGTCACAGGTTAAGTCCTCATTGAATATTGTTATGGTTATTTTAACAGAAACGAAATAAAGGTTTCAGAAAGAGAAAATGAGGGATCTTGCAACACGCATGTATTTTATCAATGTAAAATGTGATTCTGCATCAGTTTAAGATGCTTTCAGAGGCAAGTAACAGATATCCAACTACAATGGAGTAACAGTATATATGAGTTTATCTTTTTTAAGTAATGAGTTGAAAGTTCATCATCCGTGGTACTTTCTCTTTTTCTGCTCTGTCATCCTTAGCTGCAGCTGTCATCTCCACGGTTACCTTAACCTCTGACCTCTGAAATGTGATTCTGGCAGGAAGAAGAAAAAAGGAGGAAAAGTGAGCACCTAGGTAAGAAAGAGAAAAATTCTCCAGCAGTCCACAGTAGGCTTCTGATCATGTCATATGGGATGGAACTGTCACATGGCCCCCAAAATGCAACAGAGGGTAGAAACGGAGATCTGTTAGAAATGTAGAACATTTGGCATTCCAAACAAAAATTGAGTTCTGTGGGTGAAGAACGAGGGCAGAGGGGATACTGGGTAGGCAAAAAATACTGTCTTTCATGCGTGCTTTGTTCCGTAGGTGCCCTCTACATTCATTTGTCTGATCTTCATTACTGCCTTCTTTTCTCCTTATTTTATTTTTTTATTTCACTTTTAAGTTTGACTTTATCATGATTTTATTGTTGTTGTTGTTTTCTTGTTGTTATTATTGTTGTAAGGTTTAGTCTTTATGTTATTTGGCATACAGTCCAAGTTATGGAAAATCTCTATTCAAATCAAAACTTTTTCTCATAAAGAAAATTCATATCCATACTCCAAAATATTTTCAGAGTAGACATAAATAAGGGATCCTTCAAGATCCTTTCAGGAATCAGTGCACTCAAACCAAAGAACTTGGCTCAAAAGTTTCAGAAATTTTTTATATTTATCACATCATTGCTGGTCATAAACCCAAAGAATTGGCAAATACCTTTGAACTTTAGCTTCCTTAACATTCTGCAACTCAAACTAGGTCAAATGCAGACAGAAATGTCTTCATATAAAATGTTAGGATGCATTCCTTACAATTCCTCTTGATAGGAATGTTTTCTAGAACTCATACCAACTGTGCCTGGGAATTAATTAGAAGCATTTTACATATTATTTCAAGTAGAGTGGTATCTTAATAACATAATTTTTCCACTAAATTTTATCCATAGACAATCTTTAAGGCAATATAAAAGAAACTGCAGTTCAAAACAATACACATCTGTGTTGTGTTCACAGACCCCCTGAAACCTGTCAGTGACCCAAAGTGCCAAGGACAGTACTAGTGCTTTATAATATTAGTTCATTTACCTTCAGGTTAAAACTTGACTGATGATTTTTTTGAAGAGGAGGAAACTAAGGCTTAGACTAGTTAAATTTTCTCAAAGTGACACTGCTAACGAGAGGTATAGCAAGGGCTTAGACCTAGATATACCTTAATTCCCAAGCCTGTGTACTTAACCTCTTGTCACTGTGCCTCTCTGATGACCAGACAGCCCAGGTATCTTGTCAGCGGGTACAAGCAGGACTAAGAGAAGAGTCTGAAAGGAGGAAGAAGTCATCATGTTGCAAGGTTTTGTGGACTTTTTAACCACACAAGTTGTGTGGTTGGAATTCAGGCTCTGTCATCAGTGCACATATGAACAAGCGTACAAAGTGTAACACCGTAGGGTTGAAATTTGATAGTGGCCATTTTAATAATTGACTGCATAATCAAACCAAACTTAACTAATAAAGAAGTAGTAAAGAACAAAAGCAAATGTCATTCGAATGAATAGTGATTATATAAAAGGAATCACAGTTGAACATTTTTTAGGGAAGAAAGATAAAAGAAGTAGCCAGTGATTTAGAGAGAATGTTTAAAAGCCTAAATTTTAAATTGAGTACCTGTAGTTAAAACTACTTGAAGAGTTAGTGTCTGATAAGTGAAACTCCCACCTAGATTATAAAGTCCCTGGAGAGAAAAGTCAGTTAATTAATCAAAATTTCATCTTACAAAGACCACACTGGCAGACATAAGTTAATTAAAAACAGATCTCCACACGAAGATTTTTTTTAATCTTCCAAACCATTTACTGAAGAAAAGAAAGAAAGAAAGAAAGAAAGAAAGAAAGAAAGAAAGAAAGAAAGAAAGAAAGAAAGAAGGAAAGATGGAAAGATGGAAAGGAAGAAAGATGGAAAGATGGAAAGATGGAAAGGAAGAAAGATGGAAAGGAAGAAAGAAAGAAAAATGGAAAGGAAGGAAGGAAGGAAGGAAGGAAGAGTGGTCTGACTGAGCTCTTCAGATTTAGTCTGGGAGAAGGGAACTTGTTGAGCGTATTCTACAAATTATGCCAGAAGCCAAAGATGCATCAATTTTCACTAAGAAAAGAATTGACTATTTTGAATCCACTACCACAACTATGAAAGTTCTGGATGAGGTAATACATGTGTATTTAAGGCAGAGGATATCACTAATCTGGAGAAAATATGAATGAGTGTTCACTGGGACTCTTTCCTTGGCCTTCTTTTTTTATTAATCCCACAGACACAGAAATAATATCAGTGTTTTTAGTTGACAGTTACCCTTTCTGAATCTTTTCCCTCATTTAACAATGGCTATAATAATATCAAGCAGGGTTGCTGTGGGGGTTAGCTGTGAGAAAAATATCTATCACTGTAACTATATATAGAACCTGGGCATAGATTTGATTACCAGTGAGTGTTATCAGTGTTATTATAATTAACAGGAAAGAAATGATTGATATTCAGGAGGTCTCTCCTAAGGAGATGCTTTAGTGATTCATTATGGTAAGTTCCTATATGGAGTCAGATCATTAGAAGGTCACATAATTAGCTTGTGTAACAAGCTTATCAAATTTACAGAGAATCAGTAAACATGTGGTGGGCACTTAGACACAGCAGCTGGACTAGCCTCTGGCCTCCCAAGAATAGAGGGGTCTGGGACACAGGAAAACTGGATGCAGAGTTCAAACGTGGAAAGAAGCCAGGCCTGAGATCTGCAGCAGAGTAATCAGAATTGGGAATTCAGGCAAGTCATATAGGAACAGTTACCTATTAAATATTAAAAAGGAAAAAGAGAACATATTCATAATCCAAGAGTCTATCATTGCAGAAGGCACAAAGGGACTTGGAAGTTGAAGGCAAGGACGTGGCCAAGTGACTGAGCATTGAGGATCAGAATTATGAAAGATGCGTGTGCGAGAGGGAGAGGGAACTGAAGGCCAACTCTCTGATGCATCTTGAGAGCTCCTATGGGGTTATGTCAAAGCAAAAGCCTGTCCTCAGAGAGGCTGGTCTGAAGCCTGAAGGTGAGGATGAGCAGAATTGCCTGGATGATGTGAAGAACTCATGACTCGGGGGAAAAGGCAGCTCTATATTTACACATTATCCTCCAGGAGAAGGTTTGCTCCTCAGCCCCCAGTAGTTGTTTGTGCTCTTTGAGATTTTACACTTTCTTTTATGGGACATTAGACTTTTTAATATTAGATTCTACTGGGAATCCGATAGTCATCACAGCTCCTTTAATTAACAGTAATTTGAAATATGAGCCTGGAATCATAAAAACTTAGGAGGAAACATTTCACTAAAATTTTAATACACAAGACCTCAAATGGGGATTATTTATTTGTTTAAATGAACAAACTACCTATTTAAAATGGACAAATGGACATACATGTAAATGGCACTCATTTACAGGCAGTCACTAAAAATCTGTCTTACCTGTTCTTAAAGCAAGTTCCCAAGAGCATCTGTTAGGAAACACTTAGTTTTTCAAGCTTCTGTGTTGCTTTTGAAAGCATGAAAAGACCTTGTCTTTATTCTGAAGTATTAAGTCTAACTTTATCTTATTTAGAGTAACTTCATCTTCCCATGAACATGAATTAACAAAACCTTTCTAACTAAGATGTCTTCTTTTGTCCCATGAATTATAAAATAGTTAAAAAATTAAACTGGTCACTTTAACATTCTCTCATTTCCTGCAAGTAACAACTGTTGATGTTAAATGTTTACTGAGCTCAAAGAAGTCAGAAATAGAAAACCAAATGTAAAAGACATTTTTACTTTTTGTATTTTATTGTTTGGCTTTCAAAATATGCCCTTTTGCCTGAAACAAATGATTCAAACTCAGAGTTTTATCGTGAAATAATAGTTCTAGGAATGGAAAGCAGTTCAGCATTGTTAGGGTGAAATTTTTGATGACTTAGTTTACCTCCATTTAAATGCTTCACTCTTTCTTCACAAAGAATAATGCAAATGTATAAGAAACTATACTAATACAAATCATAAGATTAACATACTTTGATTGGGAGGCTATCCCTACAAGCATACCACCAGACAAGGAATTGCTCCAAAACTTTGCCGTTGACTGTTGTGAAGACCTCAGTCACAGAAGCGTAGAATGAATGTGATACAAAGCCTGACTAATGCTACTCTTTAATGGAGGATAGCTTATCTTGGTAGAGAAGGGAGATTGGTAAATGCTCTGAAACTGTCCTCTTTTATTCCACTAAATATAATAAACACTTATTTTATGTCATATCTTTAAACATTCAAGTATATGCCATCTTTGTGAACCTGACTCTTCATTTTATTGTCCTGCTGAATTTTGGCTAAAGGTAGCTTATTTTTCCAAATCTTTTAAAAATATTTTTATGAGGTCGTGTTCTTGTAACTTTATCAGTGGGACTTTCTTGAGGCCTGAGTTTAAAGTATGTCCCTCCATAGAGGATTTGAGTTGGCTACAATGCCAAGAACCTGTGTGTATTACCAGTCCAGGACCATTTTCACATAAGTTTACAGCTTCGGTGTTTCCCAGGCATATAAGGCATATGGATTCTGGCCCCAAATCAGAGGGAAGGCTTGTTGAGAATTCTCACAGGAAGAATTTTCTTTTTTTCCCCTTTTACCCAGGGCCAAGACCAAGAACGGTAAGCATCCTTATCAGCATCTCCAGGGTAGGATAGTTCACCCGCCCTTAACATGTTCCCTTTGAGATTCCTGGATTTGCCCCTGTTTCTCACTCCAATCTCTCCCGGACTTTAAGGAGTTCCCTCACTTTCCCTATAGTTATACATTTTAAAAAATATTTATCCAGTTGTTCTGTACTTACACTCAGGGCCCAGGTGTAAAGAAAATACTTCATCTGTGATTTGATCTTAATGTAGAGAGTAGGAGAGCTGGTGGAACACCCAGGGTAAAGGCTTCTGCTCAGACAAGTGTACTGTGACTTCTGCTTACACTTCATTGGACAAAACATGCCCATGAATAAGCCTGATCTCTATGGTGTGGGAAAGAATGCTTCTCCCAGGGAAAACACTGTAAGCACATGGCAGTGGCCGGAGATGATACATAATTCTCTTACAGAGAAGGAGAGAATGAATACTTAGAAATGATACAAACTGCCCACAAGAGAGATCACAGGTAGAAAAGTAAATTTGGTCAGTAAGTTGATGGATTCACATCAGACATATGATGCTTGTAATGTCTGTGAGACATCCAAGTATGGACACTGAGCAAGCCATTTGATACATGGGTCAGAAGTTGAGGGAAAAGATCTGAATGGGAGATATTAATATACTTAGAAACATTAATTTAAAATGTTAGCTGAAATCTTACAGAAGTAAATTAAATCTTTTGGGGACAAAAGGGTACACTTGCCATTTGCATATTATTATTTGCGTTCTTCCTACATTCCTTAAAACACAAGGCTCTCTTGTGTTTTTTGCAATTTTTTATAGAAACATGGATATCAAGAAGTACTTCTCTATTACAAGAAAAACAACAGCCCAGGTGAGCTAAGCAGTAACTGGGGCTTAGGGTTAGTGTGTGCAGGACAGCAAAGGAAATAGTAATTGGAAGAGATACTACCTATCCTGTCCACATGGGCAGCTGACACACAGCTCTAGCTAACTATTGCCCAGTGAAAATACTAGCTTAGGTTGTACAGGTGGTCCAGTTTTTCAGGAAAAGCTGAAAACATTTAATGTGTAATTCCCAAATTTTTAAATATTGAATATATTTATTTCAAAATATTGCAAGAGCCAAATTGTTATTATTATTATTATCATTATCATTATTATTGTCATCATCATCATCATTATCATTATTATTCACTATCTGTAGGCAGATTCAGGCTATGGAGTCACCAGTTTGCTATATGACCTATGATATAAAGTGAGAAGAGGACAAAGAGAGAAATATTAGAACATTTAAAGAGTGAGCAGAAAAAGAGAACTCCACTAAGGAGAGTGGAAAGAGAAACATAAGAGCACAGGGAAATCACATATCCCAGAGGAAAGGAATATTGCAGGAAGACCCTAATCTGGTTATTTCAAGGCACTGATATTTCCTATTTCTCAAAAATGCAGTTTATATGACTTGAGTTAAAAATATAATCCTGAGGTGCTATATTAAGGTGGTATATTAAGATACTACCACAATTTAAAGAAGTTAGGATATGCCCTGAAAAATGCAATACAAATCTTTATATGCTTCTAAATACATTTTATTTACTACTGTAATGTAAAGTGCCTGTCTTTCAATGAATAAACTAGACAGATATGTCTATGCCAAAAATACAAGAAAAATAAGAAAAATGTTGCATAACATGGCAGACTTCTTTAAAATAATAGTTTAAAGCCAGAAAATATAGCACAGTTTGTAGAAATGTGCTAAATCATTTTTCAAGCTATGGGCAGTAACTACCTCTGAGCATCCAGGTGTCTCCAATGAACATGCTAAAATTAGACCAAAAAAATGCATTAAGAGAGACTGACATCAACTTTCAACGAATCTTAAATAAAGGTTAGGACTGTTTGAGCAACTGCACTCAGCCGCTAGGCACTGATCCCTCAGTGGTATGATGTTACTTGAACTATATAGTAGGGGAAAAAAAAAAAAAGCAGTGCTTCATTAAACTCATGTTTATTCCAGGTGTCATGGCCCATACTTCCTAAGACAAGATGAGCTTTATCGTTAAATAAATTATTTTAGCAAGAGGAAAATGCATGTAATTGATTGTAAAGAGTCTAATATAAGGAAGAATTCAGATTATTAAAGATACTTAAAGCCC